CAAGAGAGGAAGCTGGAGGGGGAAAGGGCAGGTCTGCCATGGTGAAAGAGCAAGCTGCCTGCTGGGACCCAGGGATGGAGGGTAACTAGCTCCACAGTGGTAGGTCTGGGTTGACCAAGGGATGCCTAAATGCCCAACTCAACAAAATCCCCTGCAAGAACGGGGCTCCACAAAGGCTCTCTACAGGAGAGAGAGCTAAGACAACTCAGGGAGAATGCATTGCCAGGCACACTGCTAACACAGTCCTCTAGTGGAAGCCCCCAGAAGCCCTCTCTCCAACACAAATACTTCCTTTTAAAAACAGCCAGCCTGAGAAAAATGGGGATTCATTAAAAAATAAGTAATAATCACAAAGAAACTGGCATAGAGCCATGCAAAAATACTACAAAGAAAAAAAGGAAAACCAAACAAACTACGAGGAAAAAAACCAAAAAAGCATAAACAAAAGGCAAAGATGAAACACAGCAGAAAATCACAGCATCAAGCAATGAAAAACTATGAAATTCTTAATGAAATTAAAGAAATTAAAGCAAACATCACATTTCTGAAATTAAAAATCAAAGAAGAGCCATGAGAGCTGAAGGAGAGAGCTCAAAAAACCAATGTAAGAGAAAAATGAAACTATTTTCAATTAAACAGATTCAAAGTCATAATAAAAGCTACAAAAAAAGGAAAAGGCTGAAAACACAGGAAAAGGTAGACAAGCCTAAGAAAGTTACACAAGAACAAATACTTAAAAATATTACAGAGAGGCTGGCCAGTTAGCTCAGTTGGTTAGGGCGCAGTGTTGTAACACCAAGGTCAAGGGTTTGCATCTTCATACCAGCCAGCTGCCAGGGAAAAAAAAAATTACAGCAAATATGTAACAGTCCACACATATATAACTGACACTCCTAAACATAAGAACACAGCAAATACAACCAAATAATTCTTCAAAAGTAAATGAAGAAAATTTTCCTGAAATAATGGTAATCTTTAATCTATTTATGGAAAGAACATATGTCCAACAAAAGAACTGATACGAGATAATCAACATCAAGACATATGCAGATAACTGGAAATGTAGACAAACAAGAACAATGAGTGCTTACATTCAAATTTCCTGATACCTCCCAAAAGCCATGCAGATCAACAAGGAAAGTACAAGCATCCATAACATAAGCCTACAGCATGTCTCAGAGATGGACACTGTAATGTGTAAGTCAGGCAATAAAGCACCAAGAATCAAGAGAGTTCTGGGCCACAGTCTAGAATGGTGGAGGAAGCCCAGCGGGGGCTACAGAAAAGAATGGGGAGGGCAGAGGGGTCCAAGTGGTGCAGGAACCAGACAACACCAATGGAGATTCACTACCCTCCTTCAGGAGAGGGCCCCAGGCTGAGTGGGAACTTTTAAGAACAGGTCTGAGACCTGATAGGTCAGCATACCAGCAGCACAAGGGGCTGAATGGAAGAGTTTGGGAAGTGCACAGAACAAGAGGTGGCTGACTTGGGAAAGTACTGCCTCTGGGACACGCAGAGGGGAGTTCCTGGGAAAGTAACAGTCCTTGGAAGCAGCAGCCTCTGGGGAAGTGAAGGAAGTAAGAAAGTGATTAAGAGTCCTACTGAAGCAAGACCACACATCCCATAGGATCTCCTGCTAATGGCTGATATAGAAATACCCTCAATATTTTAAAGGCAAATGAGAAAAATTAAGGAAAAAAAAAAGAAAAAAACACAGAAAGCACAAAGACAGACATGAAAAGGGGAAATAACCAGTAAATCCTAAGAGTTAAAAAGATCCTGAGAGAAATTTGCACACATCAATTCACATACATTTAAGAGACCTAGAAAAAAATGGAAACTTTTCCAGGAAAACATAATTTACCCAGATTGACCCCCAATAATGATGGAAAGTCTAAGCAAACCAACTTCTATAGCTGATTTAGAGAAAACTATTCAAAAACTTAATCTATAAGCAAACATCAAAGCCAGATGATTTCATAAAGGAATTCTACCAAGCCTTTAAAACATAGATTAGATTTTGACTACATACAGTAATAGAACAAAACAAAGACAGACAGACAGACAGAATGAAATCTTAAACTTCATTCAGAACATGTATTGTTAATATTAAAATTAGCATGGCTCTATAAGCTATTTTATGTGACCTGTAAGGTAAAGCAAGTCAGTAATGATGGTAATGTTATTAAGAATCAAGGTTTTCAATGTATGTAAAAAGAAATATAAATATAATAGCAAAGAAATTAAGTAAAATCCTATAATATTAAATTTGAACTGAATATATCAATATAGATTCATGATTTTTAAAAAATATATTCAGCCTTTTCCACCAAAATGGGGAAAAAGATGACAGCCCATATAGTAACAGATTTTTTTAAAAGACAGAAAGAAGCAATTTCAACAGAAAACGTAACCTCAAATAAGATAACCCAACACAAACGCCATTTATTTAAACAGTATAATTCACTTGGTAAAAAAAAAAAATCCTCAATTAGACTGCAAAGCAAAACCCAACTATACTCTGATATGAGAGCACCATCTAAAATAAGTGGCTGAAAGTAAAAGGATGGGCAAAAACATCCTAGAAGATACAAAATGAAATAAAGCAAAAGCCACAAGATAAGGCTGAATTCAACAAAACAATAAGCAAGATGAAGAATAATGATTTATAATAATAAAAGGTACAATCTACAATGAAAATCTATCAAAAATCTTTACACAGCCAATAACACAACTACAGAATTCATAAAACAAAAGCAAAAGAAAATACAAAGAGCAAACTGGTAGAAACATGATGAAATTCCCATAGTTGTTAATCTCTTAGGCTACAGTGGATCAAGAAAACAAAAACAAAGCACAAGAGATACAAAAACTATATGGCAAAATTAACAATGAACATGTAATAGAAATAGTCAGAAATATAACAAAAAAAAAACCTAAATACTCATCATATGAATATTGATGCAAAAATAATAAATAAAATAACAACAAATGGAATTCAGTAGAAAAGTAAATAATACACAATAAGCAAGTAGAGTTCATCATGGGAATGCAAGAATGATTTAATATTAGAAACTCTATTAACATCACTTACCATATTGATAATGTCAAAGATAAAAATACAAGAGTCTACACAGATGCTGGAAGAGCATTTGATAAAGTTTATGGGCACACAAAAAGTTCTTAATAAAGTAGAAGAAAGGGGTACTTTCTAAACATGATAAAAAGTACCTAAAGTCAAAAGCCAACATCATGCTGAATGTTCATATACAACAAGCATTCTCTTTATAAATCCAAGTGATCACTGTGAACAGTAATTTGGCAATATCTACCCCAAAAGATGCATACACCATTTATCTAATAATTTCACTTCCGGAAATTTTCCTACTTTGTTTATAATGAAAAAAGCAAGGTCCAAAATGGTATGTACAATATAGTCCCCATTTGTCTCAGCATGTGTTCTCTCAAACAATATTTCTGTAAAGGTACATAATAAGGAGGGGAGAGGGAGACTTGGAGCACTGGATAGGAAGGAGACTTCACTTTTCATTGTCTAAATTTTTAAACTGTTTAAATTTTTATCATATACCTGTATTATTTTTTCAATTGACAAAAAAGTAATAGAAAATAAACGTGAAAATTGCAAAAGGCTTGGGGGAAGTATTTTCCTGTTATAGGTTGTACAAATTGAAAAGAATAATTTAAATGTCCACAATACAGACTATATGCCCTGTTCTCAGCATCCTGAATACAGTTCAGAATGGTCTAGAATAAATGCTGTTACCTAAAAAAAAAAAAAAAAAGTGGAAATAAACAATTTATGCTAAGAAAACACTCCAAAATTCAAGAAAAAAGAAAGATTCAAATTTTGAAAAATTCTATCAAGGTAAGGCAAAATCCCCATCACAGGACAGTAAGGAAGGTTTATGAGAGAGAGAAAGAAGGCCTTCTATTACCCGTCAAGTCTGAGGAAATCAGGAAGACCAGAGAAGATGCAGCATCACCTATGAAGAATTCATGCCAAAAACTTGCAGTTTATAGGAAATACAGAAGAGAGAGAAACAATGAGGAAACAATCAGAAAACCCATAATCTGAAACAATCTATAAGACAAATGGCCTGGTCTCTTCAGCAAGTAACAACCAAATAAAAGGAGTGATCTTTGATTGGATCCTGATTTGAACAAACAAGATACACCTAGTGACAACTGGGAAACTATGAATATGGACTAGTTTGGTGATCGGTCCTCTTGGGTAAAGACTGGAAGGTAGTATTACACTGACCATTAAAAAAAAAAAAAAAAAAAAAAAAAAACCAGAATAGCTGACACAGAACTGTATATGTTTAAAGTGTATTTTAGGCAGCAAAAATGCTCTGCGGCCTTCCCACTATCTGGATTTGAAGCACACTTAGAATTATACACTGTAGTAAACTCTTTTATTCTTCAAACTAGCATTCTCACAAAAATGGAATTACACAAAACCAAAAAGTTGCAAACTGCTAATTAATGCAGGTTGATAATTAATGAAGATTGCATTCAGGTATTATGTCACTTTGTAAGTCTTCTTAAACTTTTGTATGTTTGCATGTGTTCATACCCAGTGAGATCAGAGGAAATTTAAAAAAGTGCTTCAGGAAAAGACCATGTCTGCCTTCACAGATTTTCATTACAGTACAATGTTTAGGCGTAAAGTAAACTTTGCTAATTTTAACTGAGTAATATGTGTATGTGTTTGCACTGAATTTTAAGCAAACTGCATGCTGAGTCCTTGTTAAATAAATAGTGAACCATATAGAACAAATATATTGATTTAAAGGTGCAATATAATGAGGCTCTAAGGGCAAAAGATATGTTCATCAAAATATTGTTAATGTAAATAGTGTTAAGTTTTTCAGTTAAGAGAAAAAATAAAGCCTCTGTAATTTGCTATTTATGTCTATTAAGAAAAATTAGTTGCATTAGGATGTGTATTTGTGAAACTTGTTGATATAATGACTTACATAATGATTTTCCTGGATACAACTTTGCCTGGGGGTAACCGGGGATCATTTTTTCATCTCTAGCTCTAAGATTTTCAAGTTCATGTTTGATAATAAATTGACATTCTGCCATTGTGAGAAAATCATCATTGTTATCTAAAATAAAACAAAAATTTCCAGTTATTTTCTCAGAAATAATCAAAATAAAATTAAGTAATGATATTCCAATAACCTGGGATTATGGAAATAATGATGAAAATAATAAAAAATTAACATAAGAAGTAATCAAAGTATAAAACTGGCAAACTAAATAGGACATAAAGCTTCTTAGATATTCTATAAGAATAAAAAAATTTTGCCTTCACATAATACAATTCTTCAATCATTTTAATAGTTATTATATTACATGGTACAAATATTCAAAAAGCACATATTTGCTTGATCTCATTAACACCAATGAGCAGAAAGCAATATGTTCTTGATTCTAACAATATTTTAAAACAGGGATGGAACTGAGGAATTTTGCCTATATGGCAAATTCTCCTCCTCCAAACTCTTCAGCCCATTCTATTCCCCCTGGAGTCAAACGCCACTACCATAAATGAGAGAGAAGAAAGTCTGATAAGAAAATAGTGTCTCTTTTTGACAGGTGAATCTTCTTAAATGAGGTAAATTTCACCTTGATTGTTTATTCACTAAGGTATAAAAATCCAGAGTGAGAGAGTCTGAAGATGTATAATCACATCTTCTAACTCTGAAAGCCCTGGAAATCAGACCAGTTTGATTCTGAAGCCAAACTCCCATCCTGATATCACAGCTACCCTGGCTTTCCCAGTTCCTTCCATAAAATATTCTCTTCTGAATCTGCTTTGGGGCCACAAAAGAACCCATTACCCTACCACATTCAGTAGGAGGCAGAAAATTCAGGAAATGAGGTTTCTAGGATATTAAACTACTACAGTGTTGTTATTATAAGATCTTTCTACATCAAGACAGTGAATATTCATTATTATAAGAATCAGAATAGAATAATAGAAATAAGGTACACATGGCCTTATATATTCATCTGTTCCAGGGGTGGCAAAGTATGGCCCATGGACCAAACCTGGCCTACCACATGGTTTTATAAATAAAGTCTTAGTGGGATACAGCCTCACCCATTCATTTACTTATGGTCCAAGGCTGCTTTTTTGCTTGCAATGGCAGTGTTGAGTAATTGCAGCAGAGACCAGATGATGGCCCCCAAAGCCCTATTTACTATTTAGCCCATTACTGAAAAAGTTTGCGGACTCCTGATTTACTCATTAAAAACTTCTTTTTGATAAATTGATTCTGATAGACACAAAGAATTTGGGGCTTACCATCAAAACCTTTGAAGTTCTGTCGGGTTCCATATGTGAAGGTTCTCATGGTGTTATCATTGCACTCTTTCACCAATCCCACTGCTTCTGCCCCCAATAACAATCGAATCTTGGAGGCACCAACAAGATATAAATTCTGATTTTCTAGTGTTTCTTTCTCATATTTATTTAACAATGGTCTAAACAACAACTGAGCACCTTCAAAAACAAAGGATAAGCACAATCTTAGAAACATACAAACAAAAGTTTCAAAAATGAAAATCTTCTAAATAAATACAATGTTTCTAGTTTGGTAGAAGGAACGGAAATTATATTAACAATTTTTTTTTTTTTTTTTTGTCTTTTGTCTTTTTTCCGTGTCCGGCAACAGATCGCAACCCTCAGTGTCGCCCCCGTACCGGACCGGGGACCGGCAACGGGATCGCAAGCCTCGGTGTTGCTCCCGCGCCTCGCTCAGCCAGTGAGCGGGAACCGGTCTGTATGTGGGATCCGAACCCTCGGGCGGGAGCGCCAGCCGCGCTTCCCAAGCGGCGCACTATCCAGTGCGCCACCGGGCCAGCCCTATATTAACAATTTAAATCCATGTTCCAAGTAATTAAGAAATATAAATTGGGGATAGTTCTTTACAGTTTAAAATAAATACAAAAACTAGAAAATGTAGCAATAAGAGGTTTGCCATTTACTCAAATTAGAAGTAGATATAAGAATCCAATATTTATTATATCGAAGTATAAAACTGCACTGAGCAAAAATATGGAGCAAAAGGATGCAGTTTTCTTAATAGAAATGTAATAGACCAAAATTTAAGAAAATCAATTTGAAATAAAATATTCCAGGGAAAAAAAGCCACATGTGTAATACAATTACAGTGGAATATAACAAATTTTAATACTAGATAATAAAAAGCAACTTTTCAGTGATTTTTCCCATAAATTTCTATATTCAATTAGGTTTAATGACATTTTTCTTAAATAAGTTCCCAAAACATTAAGAGTAGATATTATGATTTGATATTGTATTATAATTATTACTTAAAAGATTATGGAGAAAAAGAACTTTTTTCTAATTTTTTATTTCTGCTTACATCAAACTTTTTAAGGTACATTTATTTCTTTACTATTTATCCTCTAGAGATGATTGACAGGAATTATGAAAAAATGAATCAGATTGCAGCAGGATAATGAGGAGAATTTATATTTCCCTTAAAAAATGTATTATTTAGATAATTTATAATAAAGGTGTTAAAATGTTAAAGGTAAATAAAAGGTATATTCAATTTACAAAAAATACAAATGGTTCTTAAATATAAGATCCTTAACCTCACTCATAAGAAGATAAATGCAAAAACTACACCAAAATTCTATTTTCACTTCTCACACCGCAAAGATGGAAAGTTTGATAATAGGTTGCTGTGAGTGGTGGCCATGGAGGTGTCCTGCTCCTTCCAGCCCTGCCTTCAAGAGAATCTCCTTGGAGGAGCAGGGTTGGCTGCCAGCCTCCTGCTGCCACACCTCACAAGGAGGCCATGCTTCCCCCAGCTGCTCCCAGCCATTGGCTGAGTGTGCTCAACATGGATTTCCTTTAAAAGGCAACTCTGAGGGCCGGCCCTGTGGTGCACTCGGGAGAGTGCGGTGCTGGGAGCGCAGCAACGCTCCCGCCGCGGGTTCGGATCCTATATAGGAATGGCCAGTGCGCTCACTGGCTGAGCACGGGGTGGGTGACACCACACCAAGGGTTGCGATCCCCTTACCGGTCACGAAAAAGACAAAAAAAAAAAAAAGGCAACTCTGAGCCTAGCTGACACATTCTCAGAACTGTGCTGTGGTTGGAGGCTCTTCTTCCTCAATCCTTTTTCCTTCCCTCTTTCTTTTCATAAGACATACACCAAAGTCTGAAGGCTCACTATGCCTACTCCTGCCCCCCCGCCCCCCGCTTATCTTTCTGTAAATGCTTCCCTCAATAAACCTCTTCTGCATCAAATCCTATCTTGGCATCTCTTGCTTGGAAGATCCAAACTGGCACAGTGAGTGTGTGGAGAAAGGCACTCTGAGACACTTCTGGGGGAGTAGAAATTGGGATAACCTTTATGAAGAACCATTTGTCAATATCTTGTCTTGAAAATGAGGAGTTCCCATCTTCCTCCCCCTAATCTACCTTCCCCAGAAGCAATAACTTTCAAATTGTTCAGGTGATTCTTTTGTTATTTGCTTTCATGTCACCAAATAACATGCTTTACAGAGCTATTGCTTGATTTTTCAGTTTTAAGCCTTGAAAGATGAGAATTTAGCTCTCATTCCTCCCCCCACCCTCACCATTCCCATCACCCCATTCTCACAATACAGTTGTATCATCAGTAGTCAGCACTTATTATGACTACACGTTATTTATTGCTGAGCCTTACAGTAAGCTATGATTTTCCTTTCCTGCACTTTCCCTGAAGTTGCTGTCCTGTTTTATAATATGCTAAGTTTATTATATACTTATCAAGAAATCAATCCCCCAAGCTCTCTGCCAATTGTCTGTCTCCCCTTGATACACTGACATGAAAGATACCCTATCAACCTCATCTTAGAGAATCTATCTCCACTCCTCCCTCACACCTCGTTGGCAGCTGGGTGGCAACAGGATCCTAGAAAACCTTGCCTTCAAAAACAAAGATATTTATACCACTGCCTTCTACCTTCCACTGTCTATGTTAAGAAGTCTGATCCTTTATATCTGTCCTACTTTCTTTTTTCTGGAAGTTTGTCATATCTTCTCTGTCCCCAGGGTTCTCAAACTTTGCAGTGATATGCCGTTATCATCCACACTGCTGGGCAGTGGGTGGGCCCTTTCAATCTGAACAAGCATAGCACCAGTCTTCAGGGTCTTCTTGATGACTTCTCCATTCTCTCTGTTCTCTTTCTACAATTCCTTTTATTCAGGTGTGTACCTCTTGGATTAGTTCTCTAATTTCCTTATCTTTTTCTCTCATACTAATTCTTTACCTTTTTGCTCTTCTTTTTTTTAGTTTTTTGTCAACATTATCTTCTAACTCTTATATTGAGTTTTTAGGTTTTGGCTTCATATTTTCACTTCACAAGCTTCTTTGTTTCCTAAATGATTATTTTTATAATATCCTATTCTTGATCTTCTATCTTTCCGTAACTCTGAAACTGAGATTTTCATTCTCTTTTGGTTTTCTTCTTCTGCATAGCTTGTTGCTTTTATCTGTTTGTTTAGTTTTAGCTTTCTCTTTCACACCAGGATTTTCCTCAGATGTTTGGCAGTCTTTCGTTGTATGCTCATGTTTAAGAAAGGGGCTCTAAGAGGCTAAACAGAAGTTCTGAGGGCTTAGATGGAACTTGTCAAAGTTGGCCTTCAATGCAAGGAGGTCTGACCAAGTCATTTTCCATTGGCAACCCCCTGATTTCCATACCTTTGGTTACTTGTCTTGAGTTACTCAGATTCTCCAGAGGAATACTGTTCAATCTGCTTCATAAATGGTCTGAATGTGGCTGCTAGTATTTTGGAAACTGAATTAGGTATGGGACTGGTGGGGTAGGGGAAGAAGGAATGATATTCAGTTAGCACCTTCTTTTCAGTACAGAATCTCTGCCAAAAACTGTGCATAGTGCCCCCACGCCAAAACCAGGCATCTGACCTTCTCCAGAGGATAAATCTCAAGTTTTCTGCTGGGGTGGGAAAATATGGAAGGGATCCAGGAATCTATTTCTTAAATGTATCTCAGTCAAACCTCTTTTTTCTGGTACTACTTTTATCCCCACCTCCACAGACCCTCAGTGTCCCTAATTACTGAGTCTTTGGGGGTAACTGCAGTGTAAACCAAATTGCACCTCAACTTTCTCCCCTGCCAACTTAAATTTTGGCTTTCTCAAATCTGAGAAGTCAGTTAATACTCATATACCTGTTTTCTAGCATCTAAAATTTTGTTGCTGTCCTATCTTCTCCTTTCTTCTGTCAATGTGGACTTAATGTCTTTTACATAAAAAAAGAACGTTCTCTTATTTTTATTGTCGTTTTAATAGGAGTTTGGAAGAAAATAAAAGTAAACATGAATATTAAATACACTATCTTTACCTGGAAGATCCAGAATACTTTTATGAAAAGTTCTTTCATGATCACCCAAGCAGTGTAGAAAGATGCCCCTCCCCTCCCCATCCTTGTGTGTCTCTAAAGGCACACAATCAGCAGGAGAAAAGGCCGGGAATATACTGGAGTCTCTCAAACTAAGACACTATAAATGCTCTTAAATAACAAAAACTTTAAAGAAGGGACTCAAGTCCAGTGAAACACCTCAAATTTCAGCAAGCAAATACTCTTTTTTTTTTTTTTTTTTTTTTTTTTTGTCTTTTTTGTGACCAGTAAGGGGAACGCAACCCTTGGCTTGGTGTCGCCCGCACCGCGCTCAGCCAGTGAGCGCACCGGCCATCCCTACATAGGATCCAAACCCACGGTGGGAGCGTTGCTGCACTCCCAAGCACCACACTCTCCCGAGTGTGCCACGGGGCCGGCCCGCAAATACTCTTGTTTTAAACTTTCCTTTTGATTCAATTCTTTAAAATTTTTTAAAATTCCACTTTGATTCGAAATTATATTTTTAAGAAATCACTTCAGTTTACAGTCACAATTTTTTTAAAAAGGAGTAAGTTTAGCGCAGTGTTTAGAAACTTAGTATAATTTAAGAAGGTGTTTTGTGTAGTTTATAGAATGTTTGCTCATGTAAAACGCCCTCAGCCTTCTCACCACCTTCAACAGAGGACTTAAACCTTGGCTTGCCCCTCCGAAAAGCACTGTCAAAGTGTCATCTCACCCTTCCTTTTACTTTTACAGTAAGTATACATATAATTCATTTGTAAATATCATGCACTGCTCTATGACAGCTCTTCCACTAACTTTTTTTTTACCTGAATTTCCAGAAACTGGCATTCAGTCTCCCTACCCTGATGAGAGCATCCGTGCAGGCAGAGACCATATTTATCTCTCCTGCTGCACCATAACTGACACCCAAAGAACACTCAATACTTGTTTGCTCTTTTGACAAATACTTATTAAGCACCTACTATGCACTAGACACTGTGCTAGGCATAGTGTTTAGAGCTGTAAAGAAAACCTCTCATGTTGGTTACAGTCTAATGTTGATTTAAGACCTCCTTTCAAACCCTAGATAAACAATAAAGAGCAAAGAAATAAACATTAGTGAATAAAATATACCAATGAAAATTGTAAAACATGTTTGCAAATATACTTTTAGACACTGAGCATGACTAAGTCTGAGTAGTAACTATTTTACTCACCTCCATCTTTCTTTTTAGCAGTAATTCTGTTTTTCAGCCATTCTTTGGTTTCTTCTTTGGCATCCTGAGCAAGTTCTATGACCACCAAAGGTGTAAAAGAACTCTCGTAAGTATCCAAAGCTGATAAGGTCACTTTCATCTTCAACAAACTTGCTGAAAATTAAAATAAAATGCAAAAACGGGTTATTATGGGAAAGAGAAATATGCTGTAGACTATTTGCATTTTCTCTTAATTTACACCTAATTCTGGCTTCTAAGATAACAGCAAATTTCTCATGATAAAGATGGGTTATATGACAAGGCTCAACCAATGGTTCAAAGCACATGTGGGAGCCAGGCTTTGGAGAGGACACATCCTTTGCTGTAAGCAGCTCAGAACAGAGCAGGAGAGACATTCAGGTGAATGAAGGATAACAGTACAAAATATACTTTCACACAAGAGGAATAAGAAAGTATTTACAGCGGATGTGACACCTGAACAGGATTTAGAAGAATGAATAGTTCACCAGGTAGAAAAGGGATGGTACTCTAAGCAGAGGAAATAGTATTTCTGTACAAAATAATAATAATGAATTAGCCAATAGGTTCAGAGAAATATAAGTGGCTAGGTATGACTAGAGGATCAACTCTGTGTAGGGGGAAGGGAGGATGGAAAGAGCTGATATCTGACTGGGGCACCCGATTACAAAGGAAATGGGCTTTGTCTAGTATACAATGGGAGTCACCCAACTCATGATGATCAGGGAATTGATGTAGTCAGTATGGAGCTGCACTGTGGAGCTATTACAGATCACAAAAGGTCAGCTGAGAGTGTGGGAGACCAGTTAGGATGCTACTAGAAAAGTTTAGAAAAAGCTGATACTGTCCTGAATGGTGGCAGTTGAAGAGGTAAGGTTAGATTGGAGGTAAAATCTACAGAAGCTAATAAATGGACTAAATGGAATGACTAAAAAAAAAAAAAAAATAGAAAAATGTTATTAGATAATGAGTAGTCAGACTGTAATTATACGGAATTCTTTATGGCACCCATCTTAGCTAGGCAGAACCACTGCTATACGTTTCCCCCAAAACTACACATTCTAATAGTGACACATTAACAAAAACACAAGCCGCTACTTTCACTTCCAGATAGCAGATCAGGAGGTTCACACAAACCTTTCTGCTGAAGACAAGTACACACACCTACATGCATATAGGTACACAGATGTATACAATTATATATATCTATGTATAATTTTTTAAAAATGTGTCTGTGAATATCAAAAAGCCAACAAGGTAGGCCGGCCCGGTGGCGCACTGCTGCAGTGCGCCGCTTGGGAAGTGCGGCGGCGCTCCCGCTGAGGGTTCGGATCCCACATACAGACTGGTTCCCGCTCACTGGCTGAGCGAGGTGCGGGCGCAGCACCGAGGGTTGCGATCCCGTTGCCGGTCCCGGTCCGGTACGGGCGCGACACTGAGGGTTGCGATCCGTTGCCGGACACGAAAAAAGACAAAAAGGAAAAAAAAAAAAAAAAAAGCCAACAAGGTAGAGGGGAATAGCGGAGCCCTATCCGGAAGAAACAGAGAGGAAGCTAAGCATTTGCAACCAGTTTCCCTGGGGCCTCTGCCAATCTGGGAAGAGGTAGCTGAGAGGGTGAGGAGCTAAGCAGGGCTCCTGTTGGCCATGAGAAGCTACCGGACAAAAAGTGTAATTAGTACAGAGCCCACAAAGGAAAAGGGTAAGATAAAATCCCCACTTTGAACTGGGACCCTAAAAGGCTACATCCTAAAGATAACAATGAACCAGAAATAGATCACTCCTGAGAGTAATTAAATTCTAGGTTCATAACATCTAAATCAATAGACAAGTTAATATGCATAAAAATGAAAAGAAACAACAAACAATAGAAACAAACACACAATAGATCCAAATAATGGAGTTAGTTGAACAGACTTCAAAATAACCACCATATGTTCAAGCAACTAAAAGACAAGACTGAGAATTCTGGCAAAAAACTGGATATTATTTTTTAATGGAAATCCTAGAATTTAAAAACATAAGAAAGGGGAGGGAGGTGGGAGGGGGGCTAGTGAGGAATTGTTCAACAGACACAAAGAATGATTGTGTATTGTAATGATGAATAAACTAACTATACTGATGTGAACACCACACACTGTACATGATTATTGAAAATCAACATTGTACCCACATGTATGTATAATAAAAAATAAATAAATAAATCAAAATATAATTAGAGTTGAAATTAAGAATACAGGGCAGTCTTTACAGAAAATTAGACAAAGCTAAAGAGAAAAAAAGTCAATGAACTATAAGATAGAAGAAAGTATTTAGCATAAAGCCCTGAGAACAAAAAAAGAAAAAAAATACAGAAAAGAGAGTAAGAGACAGGAAATACAAGGAGTCCCAGAAGTAAAAAGGGGAGATATTAGCACAAAAGCAGTATTGGAAGAGACACTGACCAAGAATTCCCCAAAATTGACAAAACATACCAAGGCACAGACTTAAGAATCTCTATATACAGGGACCAGCCCGTGGCTCACTTGGGAGAGTGTGGGGCTGATAACATCAAGGCCACGGGTTCAGATCCCTATATAGAGATGGCTGGTTAGCTCGCTTGGGAGAGCGTGGTGCTGACAACACCAAGTCAAGGATTAAGATTCCCTTACCGGTCATCTTTAAAAAAAAAAAACGAATCACTATCACCTCAATCAGGATAAAGTAAAAGAAAAAAAGCACAGTAAAACAACAGAAAAACCAATAGAGAGAAAATCTTTAAAGCAGTCAGAAAAATAAAGAAAAGATTCTTTGACGGGTAATAATTAGACTGACAGCTGACTTCACAGTAAAAACAATGGAAGCCATCACATCTTCAAATGAAATAGTATCTTCAATGTGCCAGCAGAATACTATGGCAATGCAAAACTGTATACTCAGTCAAAATATGCTTTGAGAATAAGAGAGAAATAAAGATATTTTCAAACACAAATTGAGAGGATTCATCACCAGCATACTCCCACTAAAGAAAATGATGATAAAGGGTGTTCTTAAGACAGAAGGAAATGATCACAGATGATCTAGTATCTGGAACATATCAATCTTCTTTTCTTCTTTTACAATATAGGAACTCCCCCATCCTCTTTTAATTTTAATTCCCTTTACTGAATGCCCACTGCATATGAGACACTGTACTACATACCTACATACAAGAATATGATTCGACTTAATCTTCCTAACAGCTCTACAATGTACACTTTAAAAAATCAAGAGCAAAATCAAATGAAAAAGTTAAGTTACTTTGCTAATAAGCTCACAGGAACCAAGAAAATTAACTTTCTATGATATGAAGCTTAAAACTAGAGAAAACAGAGTCATTAGAGACATCCAAATTCTATGTTTTTTCCTACTAAACAAAAATCTTAATTTTGAATTGTCTACCATACAACTCTGATTGAAGATGAACTAGAACGGAGTTCAAGATAGAATGACAATGAAAGTGAAACCACATTACAGAATTTGCTGGCCTAGAGCAAAATTAAATGTATCAAAAATAAGTTAAACAGCCCATAACAAATATTAATAACAAAAATGAACAAAAACTACTCAGCAGCCAAAAAACAAATCTCAAGACAAAATCATGACCAATTGAAGACAACACTGACAATGAACTGACAACTAAGGATCCTTCCTGACAATCTGGAGAATTCCAACCATTTACATGCACGTGTATGCAGATTAATCTTTACAACTTTATCAAGCACTGAATAACAGCCAGACATCTTAGTAGACTACTGAATTAGAGGATTCAATAAATTCTAGAAACATACCAATTTTATTTTATGAGTACTATATATTAATCCTTAATAATTTCGTGAGCAATTAATCAGTATTCCCTACCAATCTATAAAAATGAAAGTCTATGAAACTGTATCCTATTGGTTGAAATGACCCACAAAAGGACCTACATTTTAGGATCAGTTTCGGATAAATTTAGGAGAATCTTCAAGGACTTGTCTAGGGTTTCCATTTCTAGTTCTCTACCCAGTCCTTTGTCTTTGGTTTCTGTAGCAGAGATTCCAGGTGCCCTTTGAAATTCAGTCTCCCTTCTTTGCCTAAGCATGTGGCTAGACTATATTTCTCAGCTTGCTGGAGTTAGGTGGATGTGAAAATAAATTCTAGCCAATGGTATGTGAACAGAAGTGGTGAATGCCAACTCCAGACCAAGGCTTTTAAGGGAGTGGTTATGCCCCCTCCGTGTTTTCTTTCCCCTTCCAAGGAAGGGCTCCTGAGATGGTAGAGACACCACACAGAAAAGTCTGGCTCCCTAAATCACCGAGGAGATCTGAGCTGCCCACCAGTCCAGGAAACCTGCCTTCAACTGTTACATGAGAAACCTATTACACTTGAGCCTATTATACCTGTGGGGATCTAAACAATGCAGCAGTTTAGTTTACTCTGATTGATACAGTCCCTTCATCTTGTTTTGTTTTAGTGGTGTGGGCTTTGGTATAATTATGCTTTTTATTATAAGCTGTCTAAATACTATTAGAATGTAATGATTAAGAAGAGGTTGATCTCTAGAGACAGATGAACCTAAATTCAAATTCAACCTCTTAGTTATGTTGTCTTAGGCAACTGATCTATGCTCTTTTGTAAAGTAGGACTAATAAGAGCACATACCACATTGTGTTGCTGTGAGAAGTGAGAAAACACATGCACAGCGCAGTGCTTGCCACACAGTAGGCATGCAACAATTGGTAACATTTTTATTATTGGCTACTATCATAAATATTATAAACAGAATATTACAACTCTGGACTTAAACTCTCTTCAGAGAAATTCTGATCAACTCTGATCAAGTTTCCAACTCTAACCCGAAAGAGCAAGCATGATACAGGTGACAGCAAAACAATTAGCTATAGGATAGAGAAAATCTATCTAGTGATCCATGATGTGTTTAAAGATGGTCTTGTTGGACTGCCCTGTACTTGCTGTTAAAAAATATTAATAACACATTTAGAACCACAGAAAATAAAACAACTCAATTTAAATTCAAAGTTATCACAACCTCTTCCCTTAGCCTTCAGGATACTTTATTATCTTGATTCTGTTCCTACCTCTGTAAACTCCTTTCCCCTCTTCTGGCTTCTCCCAA